TCAGCTACTCCAAATGTATCAAGAATGCTTCCTGACACCGATGTTCGTCTTCCTTCATATGCACTACCATGTGGCGTCAATACAAATTCAAAGAAAGACAATGCTAACGCAAACAAGGCCAACAGCAAACCAAAGAAAACTCCACGACCTCCGAACGCCTTTATCCTCTACAGAACAGCAAAGCAACCAGTTATAGTTGCTCAAAATGCTGGAATCTCTAATAATGATGTTTCCAAAGAAATTGGAAAAATGTGGCATGAAGAATCTTTGGAAGTTAGACTCAAGTATCAGAAGTTGGCAGAAAAGGCCAAAGAAGAGCACACAAAGAGATTTCCTGAGTACAAATATAGACCTCGCCGTCCACAAGACAAGAAACGTCATTTACAACAACCACCACCACCAACAGCTCACGTAGGGAAAGAGAGTTACAAAGGAAGTGAAGAGGGAAGAGAAGGAAAAATAAACAATCTTAATATTAACAATGTTGATAATAGCAATATTGAAGATAACAATATTGATAATAGCAATATCGATAATGATATTAATGATCTCTTAATACACAATTATAATAATAACGGATCATTCTACAACAACGACAACAATTATCATCATCAAGATCAGCAATATCAATTATTATCAACTCAAGCACAAATATTCTATCAAAATCAAATGAACGAAATTCCACAAATTAACGCATTCTCAGCAATTGATAACAATACTGATATTGATCTTACTAGCAATGATATTGACGGTGATAATAACAATAATCAATTTACCGCATATCTTCAAAACAATAATAACCTGATGGATTTCTCGCTATTTCAAGAACTTCAACAAAGCCATAACATTGACTTCAATAATTATAATCTTCCCCTCGCTTATAATTACAATAACAATAATCTCTTTGCAACAAAACCTGATTATTAATTAGTCTTAAGATTTATTATTATTATTTTCTATTTTATAATAATCACGAATAATATGTATATATAATTTTCATTATTAATAATTTTTCATAATTTTTAACTTACAAATTAATTTATTAGTCATATCTGTTAAAAAAAAAAAAGCAAAAAAAAATTTTATATGCAATTTTTTTTTTTTAAGATTTTTTTTATGAAGATTCTATAATAATATGCAAAAAAAAAAAACGATAAGATTTTTTTCCATATTTTCATTTAATCATCATTACTTCTTTAGCATCAATTTCACACATTATAAATATATTTACACACACATGTATATTTGATACACTCGCACTTTCACACTCACACACATATGCATATACTTTCATTCATTATAATACATGATTTATAATTTGTTTTTTTAAAATAATAAATAAAAAGGCGCCAACTTTTAAAATAAAGTATCGGTGAATCCCGAATTTTTATCTGTTTTAATTAATATAAATGGCTATATTTTTTATATGACTCGTATGACTCATTTGTATCCATCATTTCATTACATGACTCGATATTATTCATTATACTTATTTATTTATCTGACGAAAAATTTTTTTTTAAAGTCGTTTCAATATTATTATCATCAACGTTTATTATTTATATATAGTGACATCATTAACGTAATTAATGATTATAATTATTATTTATTAAAAAGTACTATGTTTCTGTCATATACAAAAAAAAAATATCCCATATATAATATGTATTACTTCTTTCTCCTCTCCACCTCCCTCCTTCCTTCTCCTCACCATTCCCCGAATTATAATTTTTAATATCTCCTTGATGATGATGATGGACTGGATGATCTTTCACGTCTTCTACTACTCCCAATCCTACTTCTAGTTGATGTACGATCTCTTGTTTCTCTATCTGGCAAACTAACAGTTGTATTGACAGGTGGTCTTATAAATGCAAAATCACAGAATAACGTTTTACCAAGAAATTTTGTTCCATTAATTCCATCAATTGCTTTTTTTGATTCTTTATAAGTTCATATTCAACCAATGCATATCCCATTGGAGATCAATTGGAAAATATCTTTATCACATTGTTACAAAAGGAAGTGATATATTGAATTATTTAGATGATTACCAAAATCCAAAGGAATTAATAACTAAAACAAGAATGAAACTATATGGAGAATACATTGAATTCTTAGATAAAAAACAAAATTTATGAAGTTTGCTTGTGGTAGTATTAGAATTCCACCTAAATTCAAGATCCACATAAAGTATTCAAAAAAACATTTTTGTATTATATTTTTTGTAGTTGAACCATTTATATAATTTTTAAATAACAGGTTGGATGGAAGTCTGGTGATAAATCACGACCATTAAAAAGGTTGCATTCAGCATCTACATGTATAAATAAAATATTCTTATGTGAAGGATACAATTTAAATGATGAAATTATTTCATCAAGACCTTAATTGTCCCTTCCGAAGCAAATATTT